AAGGAAGGAAGGAAGGAAGGAAGGAAGGAAGGGGGAGGGAGGAGGGAGAGGTATATACATTTCTTTAGAATTAAGGAGTGGAGGAGTCAAACAAGTGTAGAAGGAGAAAAACAGCAGTAGTAAAATTATCAGAAAAAAGTTAAAATTTATCTAGCCAGGTGAAGGCTGCTCTCTTATTGCAATTATAACTTTACACAGAGGCAAAATTAGTGCAATTAAAACATTAGATAGAGGGGCGCCTGGGTGGCTCAGTTGGTTAAGCGGCCGACTTTGGCTCAGGTCATGATTTCACGGTTCGTGAGTTCGAGCCCCACGTCGGGCTCTGTGCTGACAGCTCAGAGCCTGGAGCCTGTTTCAGATTCTGTGTCTCCCTCTCTCTAACCCTCCCCCGTTCATGCTCTGTCTCTCTCTGTCTCAAAAATAAATAAATGTTAAAAAAAATTTTTAAAAAAAACATTAGATAGAGGCAAAATTACCAAAGATAATGAATTTTGGTTACTTAATTTTCATTCAAAGAAGAACAAAATATCTTAGTAAATTTTGTACTTGCCCTTCTGACAATGTCAACTTCAGGAAGGAGTAAATGAAAAGTGCTATTGTACAATCAATATGACTAAAAATATAAAACTTGCTACTTGGACATTCCAAAAATCTTCAAGTGACCAACGTGTTTTAAGAATGTGTTAATATGACAAAAGTGAATATTCTACATAGAGTCATTCTCGAAATTTCTCAGAAGCATTTTAAACCCAGGCAAGACAGAAATAATATAGTCTGAAACTATGATTTTAAAAAGACAGAAATATGAATAGGACACCAAAAAATAATTCAGTCTTGGGAACGATTCCAATGAGGAAGAAAAAGGTGATATATACACACAGATGTAGCTGCGCAGGTAACTAACCCAGTTGAATGGATCCAATTTTAAGAAGGGGGTGTGGGGCAAGAACCAGAGATTAAGTAAACAAGATATCCTAAGCATCAAGACTTCTTAGAAGGTACACAATGGGAAGAGGCTCACAAGACACGCCAAAAGAGAAGAAGATTTTTTTTTGAAGCAACGTCTTGTTGAACAGGGAAAGAATAGAATCACTGCTAGGGGGGCTTAACAGATGGTAGAGAAAACAAAAGGAGAAGAATTGAATGTGCAGTTCATTCTTACCCATCCCTCAGCACCCTGATCTCCAGACCTGGCTTCTTTCTGCTCCCCTAGTGCTGACAAAGTCCTAACATGCTTCCTAATCTGCCATTCTCTATAATTTAACATTCTTTATAATCTAACATTCTCTATATCCTCACATTCTATGTAAAACATATGTATGGTATTCTTCCTTGTCTCCCCCTCCACAGTACAGCTCCATGAGGGAAGGGATTCCTCTCTCTTCTGCTCATTGATCTATCCCATGCTCCTAAAACGATTCCTGGCACAGAGTAGGTACCCTCTCTACTTGTGTCGAATGGATTTTTTTGTATAAGTGAGAATGATATTTAAAATGAAAAGAGTAGATTAATTACAGTTAAGGGATGATTTTTAAAAAGCCAAGCTCTGTGATAAGATGAAAAAGTAAGTGGTTACTTTGAAAAAGTAGAACTCTCAAATTCAAGGTGTTTATAATTCCAGAGCATAGAAAGAACTTTCTGTATGATCAAAGGATCACCTTTGAAAAGTCCTAGTGAGTAAAAGAATAAGCATGCAAATGTAATTTTTAAAAAGGAGACACAGGTGGAATAAAGACTGTGTAATTAAAATGAATCACTGGCAAAACTCTACAAGTCATTGTAACACAAAAGATACGCGACTGCTTAACAGTATGTTAGCCACAAGGAGCAAATGCAGGAAAACTAAGAACAAATCACGCCCCCCCCAAAAAGCCTTCCATCTTTGCTAGAATTCCTGAAATGGCTGTTAAGAAGTTTACATGGACATGATGTAGAGTCCCCTGGAGTCACGAAGGAATTGGACATGATAAAACATCATATGTGAATATCAAAGAGATGCCTTAGACACAGTGGAGGCTTATGCGTGTTGACATGGTGATGACACAATCATAGCACAGCATGATACGCATTCATGGGAGCATGACACAGACATAGTGTCCTATGTGGCCATCACAGAGACGAGGCAGACATAGTATAGTATGATGTATGCTTGTCCAAAGAGATTAAAACACACAGCGTAGCAACATATGGGGTCATCAACAGGTGGCAAGATATATTGGAGCATCATACATGGTGGTCATCATGGACATGACACATACTGTCACACTTAGCATCACACTTAGCTGTCTAGGAGATGCTGCAAAATAGCATAGCACTCCCCATGGTTATCAAGGAGATGATATAAACACAGTATAGGATATACAGCATATACCCTTACGAGGTTGTCAAAGACCTGAATAATGGCAGAGCATTATGTATGTATTGAAACATTCTGGAGTAATCGCACACCATGACACATACTTAAGATATGATCCAGAGTGTGGCATCTCATGTTTTTGTCAAGGATATGATGCAGACGTCAAGAAGAGTCATTCACCGTCTTCAGGGAGTTTATCCCTGGTATAGTATCATCCATGGCTCTCGGGAGGTGGGGAAGTCACAATGTAGCATCGTATACAGTAGGTTAAAAGGTGATACAGACAGAGTGTAGCATGATTAGCAAAGACACGATACAGACATGTCATACCGTGGGATTTGCAAGAAGAGAAGTCTTCAGGCAGAAGACACAAACATGCTGTATGTCGCACATGCTGTTATTGGGCCAAACTGCGGTCCCCACAAAACTCATATGTTGAATTTCCAACCCACCGTGCCTCAGAAGTTGACTTACTTGGAGATTGGGTCTTTTTATTTATTTCTTTTTAATTTTTAAATGTTTGTTTATTTTTAAGAGAGAGACAAACAAAGTACGAGCCGGGGAGGGGGAGAGAGAGAGGGACACACAGAATCCGAAGCAGGCTCCAGGCTCTGAACTGTCAACACAGAGCCTGACTCGGGGCTCAAACCCACCAACCGCGAGATCATGACCTTAGCCGAAGTCGGACGTTTAACCAACAGAGGCACCCAGGTGCCCCAAGATTGGGTCTTTAAAGAAGAAATGAGATTAACATGAGGTCCTTAAAGTGTGCCCTAACCCAATATAGCCGGTGACCTTGTAAGAAAAAGAGATTAGGACACAGACACGTGCAAAGGGAAGACCATGAAGACACAGGGAGAAAACTGCCATCTGCAGGCCTCAGAAGAAACCAACGCTGCCAGCACCTTGATCTTGAACCTGTAGCTTCCAGAATTGTGAGAAGAGAAATGTCTGTATTTTAAGCCACTCAGTCTGTTGTACTCTGTGATGGCAACCCTGGCAAACGAATACAGTTATCACAGAGGTAATGCAGTTACAGGATGCCATCACGTGGGCTGGCCACAGACAGTGCAGGGTCATGCGCGGTGGGCAAGATGACACAGATATCTCACAGCACCATACGTGATTGTCAGGAGATTCCTTATAATAGAGCATCACGCATGACTGTTAAGAAATATGCAAACAGAGTCTATAGCTTCATTCGCTGGCCAAGACATGATGAGACACAGCATGGCTTCGTACGTGGTCGTCAAGGAGATGACCAGAAATGGTGTAGCATCACCCTGGATGTCAGGGAAATGATGCAAATGTGGCGTGGTGTCGTACATTATCAGGGAGAGGACACACAGTGCAGTGTCGTATGTGGTCATCAGAGGGACGATATAGACACAATTTGTGTCATATGTGGATACAATAGGCTCGCCACAGACATATTGTAATGTCATAGGTGTTGATCAGGAATACAAGACACATATATTTCAACATCACAAATAATAGACAGAAAAGTAACACAGAAATAATGCATCACCATATCCTGTTTTCCAAACGACACAGACATAGTGTGGCGTCATACATGATTATCACGGACATAATACAGAAATAGTTTAGTCGCATGGTGCAGGGTTGTTAAAGGGGTGATGTAGTAATCGTAGAGCATGACACATACTTGTACAGGGGGTTTCACATAATGTAGCATGGTTTTCTAGGATATGGTGCATATATCATGTAGCATCATGCATGGTCATCAAGGAATCTCTCCTAGTATAGACATTATACATGATTATCAAGAAAATGATATAGCTTTATATGTTGCTAGGAAGAACATGAGACAGACATAGTATAGCATCATACATGTGTTTTAGGAGATAACACAGAAATAGCACTACACCTTACTTGATTGTCAGGGAGATGAGGTAATTATCAGGGTATGACACACAGTGTAGCATTATATATGGTTGCCAGGGAGATGATGCAATCAGAGTGTACCATCATTAATGGAGGGTAGCGAGCACTTAAGCATCACATAACGTTATTAATTGTTGACACAGATTAACGTTATACGAGCCTACCATTGAGATGACAGGCACTAGGGCATCACACGTAGCACTCAAGATGACACAAAAGGTATAGCCTGAGGAGCAGATTTCAAAAACACAATCCAGACATGATGTGGAATCATGTAGTTTTGTAAATGAGGTGAAGCAGACATAGCGGACCTTGAAGACGTGTTTGCCGAGGTGATGAGGTAGAAATATTACAGCGTCGCACATAAATTTCTAGGAAGTGGTGAAGATATGGCAGAGGATCATACATGGTTATAAGTGATTAGATGAAGGTATAGTGTAGTATCATACAAGATTTTAAAGAGAATGACAAGGACTGTAAATTAAAACATAGCAGTCGGGTATATGATATAGACACAAGATAGCATCATATGTGGTCATTAGAGGGATAATGTGGACTTATGTGGCTCCCTTCATGGTCATCAGGTGGATGATATAGACACAGTGTAGCATCACATTTGGTCTCCAGGGAGATGACAGTTCAGCATCATACTTGGCTACCAAGGTGAGGTCTCTCATGGAATAGCATTGCATATGGTTACCCAGGAGATTAGGTAGACTTTGGATAGCACCACACCAGCTTGCCAAGGAGATGAGGCAGATAAGAGTGCAGCATCCAGTGTGGTCTTTAAATGATAACAAAGTCATGGTGTAACTTAAAACGTAATCCTCGGGTCTATGGTGCGGACACAATGTAGCATCGTAGGTGGCTATTAAAAGAATTATGCACACGTGGTGCAGCTGCATATGTGGTCATCAGCTGGATAACACAGGTGTGGGGTAGCATTACCTGCAGTCTTCAGGAAGATGACACAGTGTAGCATCATACTTTATTATCAGAGTGATGACTCAAAGAAGAGCATCACACATGGTTGTGTGATGTCATGAGATGACATAGACTTAGTATAGCGTCACGTATGCTGGCCAAGGAGATGGTGCAGATGTGTCATCGCATGCAGCTGTCAAGGATGTGATGTGGACATAATGACAGGGTTGCCAGCAAATGATGTGGAAGTCGTGGAGTCTCTTACATGCTTGTCAGGAATACATAGTTATGAGGGCGACCTGTTGTTTAGTATAATAAATTACCACCCAAGACAGAGTGTATTCATAATGTTGTAATACCGATGCTTGTCAATGAGGGGGGACAGATGTCACATAGCATGATATGCAGCTTTCAGTGACATGTCAAAGACATGGTGTAACATCATATTTATTTGTCAACAAGGTGAGTTCATGGTAACCATACATGGTTATCAAGGAGAGGATACCTCCTAGGCAGCAATCAAGGAGATGATGGAGTGAAATGGAATATCGTGCATGGTTTTTAAGAAAATGTGAGTATGATGTGTTATCATTTACGGCCATCAGGAGGGGATGATGGTATAATGTAGGGTCTTACTTGGTGACCCAGGGCTGGAGTAGACGTACCCTGTAAATTGTGTCCTGGAGGGATGAGATGGGCATAATAATATGCACGGTCAACAGGAAGATGACAGAGATGTATTGTAGCATCATATGTGGTCTTCAATGAGTTGAGGCACGCACAGTTTACCACCAGTCCACGGTTACCAATAAGATGATGCAGATACAGTGTAGACTCATCAATGGTAAGGGAGAAGATGACGTATAGCACAGCATCATGTGTGTTCGTCACAAAAGTGCGCTATACGTAATGGAGCAGCATGTGTGGATACAGGAGATAATACAGACTTATTATAGCTCTGTGGATGGTGGTCAAGTTGATGAGGTCAACACAGTGGAGCATAATGCAGGATTAGGGAGATGATCCAGAATATACCACCATCCATAGTCATCAAGGAGGTGTGAAGACCGAGTATAACACCAGACGTGGTTGCCAAGGAGGTGACGCAGATATCGTGACATGGTTACCAAGAATACGATACGGACATAGATACCAACATCACAGAGATGAGGCAGATGTGGTTTGTACCATAGCTGGTCATCAGGTAGATGACCTATAGTGTAGAATTACACATGTTTCTCAGACAAAGCATAAATCCCCCCCCCCATAAATTAAATATATGAACCGATGACCTACCATCGGCTGAAGCAGTAGCAATAAGTTTTCCAGTGTAATCAAAACAGCTGTCTAGTATTTCATCATCATGGCCTGTTAATGTTGCCACATATTTTCCATTTGCAGCGTCCCACAGCTACAAGTAAAAAAAAAAAAAAAAAAGACGACTATGATAACTTCCTGTCTGAAGTGCAAAAACAGCAAGTAGTAGTCCTGACGACATGCGCACGGCTGGCTAAATAACTGGGCCAAGATCATGTGTATCATTTTCACATGTTCTGTTAATTCTACCTGGATTCATGACAAGAGACCACAGCCAACCAACTAACAAGGCACACTTTGGACGAGGAGAAGATCAGAGACAGACATTTAGGATGGGTAGTACAAATCTGCCACAATAGTAGGAAAAATCTCAAAGTGCCTGCTTCGCTGACTGGAGAGGCAGTGTCCTCTTTTCATAAGAAGGTCATCAAATGATAAGGAGCTTGATCTAAAACTGTAACGCCAGCACATGAAAAGTACTAAGGTTATAATACATTGGATGTGTAATCAAATAATAATTCCAGAGCATAAGCTCTTAGCAAAAGAAAGTTAAAGGCAGGGAGATGTTGTGCTGAGCCTCACTGAGACTGCCTCTAATCAAAGTTCAACAAATGAACAGAGAGAATAAAGAAAAATAACATGCCTTTTATTTTTTTTTAAAGATCTTGTAACAATTAACATTGTTTGATCTGATTCAATTAACATTGTTTTACTACATAGTTTCTTTAAACTCGGGAGATCAGAAACAACATTTAAAAATGCCAACTATCCTCTCTGTCTCAAAAATAAATAAAACATTTAAAAAAATTTTTTAAAAAGGGGGTGCCTGGGTGGCTCAGTCAGTTAAGTGTCTGACTTCAGCTCAGGTCATGATCTCATGGTTTGTGAGTTCAAGCCCCGCGTCGGGCTCTGTACTGACAGCTCACAGCCTGGAGCCTGCTTTGGATTCTGTGTCTCCCTCTCTCTCTGCCCCTCCCCTGCTCCTGCTCTGTCTCTCTCTGTCTCAAAAATAAATAAAACATTTAAAAAAATTTTTTAATGCCAACTATCATTTATAAATTAATATCTTAATTTTACAGTACCTTTGAGATTTGTTAATGTTGCAGGGAATGTCTGACACAGTAAAAGCATGCACACAAGAACTGTAGAGCAAAGGTGTTTCTTGAGCTCACCATGCAGGTTTTGTCCATAGAGCCGGTTAATATCAGAGAGCAATCCCAGTTGAATGAAGCACTGCTAATCTCAGCACAATGCCCAACTAGGGTATACACCTTCCTGCAGAATGGAAAGGATGCATGCTGGTGAACGATGCCACACGTCAGGATATGTGCCCAAATAATGATGTCTAGCCCCCTGTGGGTGTAAGAACTTTGGTTTTTACAAAATAACCTCTTTGATGACCAAACAATGATGGCTTTACTATAGCTCAAAAAGAGTCAACTAGGCTACTCATTTCATTTCAGCAGAAATATACCAAAACTTTAAGCACTCAAAGATGGCAACATTACTTAAGACAAGACCTCAGAAAGCCATGGGTAGAAAATAATAAAGATGGTCTGAAATTCTGGAAGCGCTCTTACACCGGATGAGCAGACCCCCTGGTAGTTCAGAAACTTCCCCTCGAGTGTCTGAAGGGCCCTTCCTCATCTTGATTGCTACCCCTGATGATTAGCCCCCTTACCAAGATGCAGACAGGTCCAAGGTAGGGCTTTATAGAACAAATAGTCTAATTTAGTTAACATCTTAGCAACTAGAACCAAAAATAATTAGGAAGGAAATTGAAGTTTGTGGACTAAATTAAGTAGGGGAAATTAGCCATGATTTTATTTACTCCTGATATCCATGCCTACCGTAATGACAAGCCACTGAAATTTGATTACACAGTATACAGAATAAGTAACAGCCATACACCCAGGTTACTGTTAACATTCTCCTCGTATGTTGCTGTGTGGCATTATTTGCTCAGAATTCTAAGAAAATACACATGTTTTATGGATCAGAAATACCATTAAATAATGAATTAATTTATTTGTGGTGTGTCCTATTCCTATAGAATCCAAAGCACACTTAATAGATATAAGATTAAACTAATGAACAGCAAAGATTTTCTTAACCCTCTGATTTAGGTTTTAAATTTTTTTTAATGTTTTCTTATTTTATTTTTGAGAGAGAGAGAGCATGAGCAGGGGTAGGGCAGAGAGGGAGGCAGAATCCGAAGCAGGCTCCAGGCTCTGACAGCTCAGAGCCTGATGTGGGGCTCGAACCCACAAACCATGAGATCGTGACCTGAGCCGAAGTTGCACGCTTAACCGACTGAGCCACCCAGGCGCCCCCCAGATTTTAATATTCCCAAAGACAGAGAATACCTTCCAGTTTCAGCTTCCCACACTGCAACTGTATGATCAAAAGACCCTGTGATGATTCTGTCTCCCGAGGTGTTAAAGGACAAAGAGATGATTTCAGCCGAATGTCCCTAGAAAGAGAGTGGATACCGTCAGGCACACCTGTGGAAAAACACTCTCTACAAATGCACAATATCCTAGTTGATAAGAAAATGCTAGAAAAGGCAAAACTCTATAGGGGGAAAAAAGATTAGTGGTTGACTGGGGGTGGCAATAGGGAGAGATTGCAAATGGGCACAGGTTTCTTTCCGGGGAAATGTTTGAAAACTAGAGTCTGGGGAAAGTGGCACTTGACTAAATTTTTCTAAAAGTTGACTTACACACTTAAATAAAGTCAATTTTACATAGTACAGCTATTTTTTTTTTTAATTTTTGTTTCTGTTTGAATAGACAGGGCGAGAGCATGATTTGGGAAATCAGAGGGCTTTTTTCACATTGTCTTAAAAACACTTTTTTTTTTTTTTCAACGTTTTTATTTTTGGGACAGAGAGAGACAGAGCATGAACGGGGGAGGGGCAGAGAGAGAGGGAGACACAGAATCGGAAACAGGCTCCAGGCTCCGAGCCATCAGCCCAGACCCCGACGCGGGGCTCGAACTCACGGACCGCGAGATCGTGACCTGGCTGAAGTCGGACGCTTAACCGACTGCACCACCCAGGGGCCCCTTAAAAACACTTTTAAAAGAGCTGTATTCAGGGAGCCTGCGTGGCTCAGTGGGTTAGGCATCTGACTCTTGATCTCAGCTTAGGTCATGATCTCACAGTGTGTGAAATCGAGCCCCGCGTTGGGCTCTGCACTGACAGTGTGGAGCCTGCTTGGGATTCTCTGTCTCCCTCCCTTTCTACCTCTCCTTCAAGCTCTCTTGCACACACACACACACACACGCTGTCTCTCTCTCTCTCTCAAAAAATAAACTTAAAATGATTATAAAAAAAATAAAAGGGCTGTGCACTTTATGGATTAACAATAGGCAAGTTTGTGAAATAAAGTTAATAAGTTAAAAAAAAAGGATATTCTTGGGGCACCAGGGTGGCTCGGTTGGTTAAGTGTCTGACTTCAACTCAGGTCGTGATTTTGCAGTTCACGAGTCTGAGCCCCACATCAGGTTCTGTGCTGACAGCTTGGAGCCTGGAGCCTGCTGGGGATTCTGTGTCTCCCTCTCTCTCTACCCCTCCCTCACTCATTCTCTCTCTCTCTATCTCTCAGAAATAAACATTGAAAAAAAAATTAAAGGATATTCTTATGATGACTTAACATCAAATAGGTTAATAAATATCTGGCCTTTGGCCTGACTTTCACCTGGTCCCTGTCTACGGTTGATGCATCAGACGTCCTGAGACAATCCGAAGAAGCCCTTCTGTGCAGCAGATTCTACTCTGCAGTGTCTCCCTTGTTTCTCTAATTATTGTAGCAAATTAACATATATTACTTTTTTAAGTAGCGGAAAGGTTCATTTACAAATCAAATTTCTGATTGATCCCGAATGGCAAAAAACTAAATGCGGCTGAACATGGCAATTCCGAACACACGAAACGAACGTGTTCTCTGGCGGCAGGCAGGTGTAGGTGTGCAGGGACAGATGCGTCCTTCGAGGACTGTCAGGCATGTGTCTGAAAGTGGAGGTAATGCAGAGACAGCCGCCCTCGGACAGGATGAGAACGAAGATCGAAAGAGGACGCTTACGCTAATTAAGGCTGGCACTCTGCATCCCTCGGCGTTAGTTAAAAAGGGTGCTTTTTCTCTCTCCGGGCCATTTTGTAACTTTCTTGGAAAAAGCTCTCCTAGGGGAGGGGTCCTGTGTTTAATGTCCATTTATAACTTGGAAGGATAAGACTTGGGTTTTCCAGCTAGCAGTTCCCACCGATCGGCACAGAGAATCACCCTGTTTTTGTACGGGGGTGTGGGCTGCGGTGGGGAGAAGCAGAGGCGGCAGGGAAGTGCTGGACGCCTGGTGGCAGTGGACAGAGGCCCCTGTGGGGACAGGCAGCACCGGGGCTGTGGGCGGTGCCCTGTGGCCTTGCTCCTCCTTCCGCTGGCCCCTTGTCATTTCAGACTTTGTAACACAGAAGGCTTCTAAGACTGGGGGGGTGGGGGGTGGTGGAGGACGGAGCGAGCAGTCATCCGTTTAAGGAATCTTCTGGCAAGTTCTCCACTTCCGCCCCTCCAGAAAGTGCCAGCCTCCTCCTACTTGGCTTTAAGCCAGGAAGACGGCGGTGGCTTTAAGTCACAGTTGGTATGGTTTACAGACTAAAGCCAGTCACAGGAAAGAGCCCGCGTGGCTTCCCCCACTCTCCCATCAAAGCCTTTTGGAAGAGCCAGCAAACCAACCGGGACACTCTTTTCACTGCAGAGTCTGAAAGCCCAAGAGGTCAGTTTGCAATAAACACAAAAATAGAAACAAACTCAAATGATAGGCCGGTGCTAAAGGGCGGCAAATGAAAATGCAAGGCTCCGGAGGCTGTCGGCATTTTGAACGTACCGTCAAAGTGAGCACTTCCTCTCCGTTCTGAATGTCCCACAGTTTGGCTGTTGTGTCCATGCTGCCAGTGGCCACGAGGGTGCTTTGAGGATTGAATGACAAACACACCTGAATTACAGGAAGTGGAAGAGATTTGAGAGAGAGAGAGGAGTTTTACGCTGTCAATTTTGCATAGAAAAGCTTCGAGACGCAACCACCTTGGATTCAGCCTAATTCTTTGTAAACCACGCAGTGAAACATCAGATCCGGGTGGCCTGCCTTGTGCCGGTTCGATCCCGAAGCACCCTCCTCTTGGGAAGAAGCTTCCTGCTCTCCCACGGCACCTGGCTCAGGATTTCAGGGGCACTGGCGCCCCTCCCCGCTTCCAGACCACAGAACACAAACAAAAGCAAACCCATCTCCTTCGAGATGAGATTTGTGTTTTCTGGCTTCCGGCTTCCGGGGTGTTAACTTCACAGTCCTTTCAATCCTCCCCCTCACTCACCAAGGACTTTGGCTACTGGATTTTAGTCTCAAGTCCAAGTCCTACGCGGCCTTCCTGTGAGGCACCAGTCCAGTACCCCAGACCCATGACCCTGCACTCCCTTTCATAATCACTCCCATGGCCACACCCTGGACTTTGACATCACTTCCTCTAGAAAATTCACTACCAATACATCAATCCCGAGTTACAATTTCCCAGGACTTCCGCTTCCTTCCTCACCAAGCCATCCCCAGGACATTTTCCATCTCATTCAGACCCCTGCTTTTTCCCGGCCCCTCATCCCCCACTCAGCTGACATCTTGAGAACATGGCTCCTGCCAGTATCCTCAATACCTCACTCCCTGTCTTTCCACTGCGCCATCGGTAAGACTCCCACCAACTGTAGCAACGGCCATTGCGTTCACTCACTTGCCCTCCGTCACCACTCAGCTTCAGAAAACTGCACAGCAGGTTATGGCATTGCTCGTTCACGCCTTCTGTCCTCAGCTGTGTGCTCAGCACCCTTCCCGACGTGAACGTGCCTCTGCCTCAGTACATTGTCCCTTTCCCCACTCTTGTCCCCGGTCTGTTTCACCCCTCCTCCACAGATAGCCTGGCCTCCTACTATTTCCCTGAGAAAACTCATCTATGGGGAGTGGGGGACTTCCTCACCTGGGCCTCTCCTCCCTTCCGTCCGTCTCAGGTGCAGAGGGATCCCTTCGCCCTTCTGAGACACCCTCTTGCCCACATACCTAGGAGCCACGTACCCACTGATTTTTTTCCCTCCTTCTGGACTAGATCCCTCCTAGTGGCCTAGAAACGTGCTTGGGCTTTTCTCACATAAAAACAAACCCTCCCTTGACTCTATGTGCCCCCTTTTCGACTACTTTTTCCCTTTCACCACCAAATCCCTGACTGCCCATCCCCCACTCTTCAACTCTGCTGGAACCACTTTGGTTAAAGGGCCGATCCAATGGCTCTGTCGGTCATCCCACTTAACCTCCTTGACATCTGCAGTGTTGACCCCTTTCTTCTCCATATTTTCTTCCCTCTTGACAGCCATGACCCTGCTCTGCTTTTCTTCTTTTGCTTCCTATCTGTTTTTTGTATCTTTTGGAGAGTTCTTCTCTTCTCCGTCTGCTCAAGATGCCATCACACTTCTCCCCACACTGACCCTTTTCCTTTCAGAAATTTCACTTCCTCGGTGGTCCCCACTGCCACCCTAATACCACTGACTCACCCACATATCCGTGTCTCCTGCCCAGACTTTGCCACTCAATTCAAGCCCAAAGGGCCTCCGATGGACATCACGCGGGCAGCTTGGACCAATCAGTCTAAGACACGTGAGTCATATGAGCACAGAGCTGCTTTTCCTTCTATATAGAGAATTGGTGAACGGCACTGCCATTGTCTGAAATCAGGGAATCTCTCTGGGGGCCCTTTTTTCCTTCAGGCCTCACATCTACTTGCTGACCCAGTCCTACTCCTCCACCGCCTACGCCTCTGTCATTTCTGCTTGGAAACAAGATGTCCCACTGGCCCCTACCTCCGATCACGCTGCACACTGCCAAAAGAATGATCTTCCCAAAGAATCAAAGTGACCACGCGATCCCCCAGCTTAAGAGTCCCAACAGCACAGCACCATCCACAGGATGAAGCCCTAATTCCTTAGTATAGCATAGGAATCAAAACTACGGGCCACTTCGATCACGCTCACCATGCGATGTGGCTCTGAACGGGTTGCAGGTGCCAAGATAAGGTGCCTTGAATCCAGGCAGCTGGGCAGCACAAGGGGTCCTCAGCCAGCACCCCTGCCCATGGGCAGAAGGCAACTCCCCTCCGTGCGTTGCATGGCCACGTTGGCGTATTCTGTGTATATCACCCCAGGGTGAGGCTGGGAAGCGTTGCTCTGGCCACACAGAGTCACCCGAGTTCAAAAGCACCCACCACCGTTGCACACCTCCTGTGGGCGTGCTGCTTCCTCGTCCTGAGTACACGTGCAAAGTCTCTCCTCAGCACCCCCCTACTGGGTGCTCCCCTCTGTGACCACACTAAACTCCCCACGAACTTCTAGCACACCCACAAAGCATCTTTGAACTTATTTATTGGTGCCTCTACTCCCTCTACTAAAGTACAAAATCCCTGCAGGACAAGATCTATGTGTGATTCTATTTGGCATGCCAAACACGTAGGCCAGGGCTTGACACGCAGCCAATATTTAGTAAATATTTATTGGATTAATGTTGTTGACTATGAAAAAATCAATATTTTCTTAGGAACCATATATATAAAAAAAAAAACTTTTTCAAAGTTCCAAGGGAGTGTGAGAATGAGGATTATGTCTTTTTTATAACTTTGGGTAAATTACATACTCTATGCCTCAGCATCTTGGACTGTAAAAGGGGGAAATATCTAGCCCTTAGGGTTGTTATGAGATGCAACTAAGCTAATATATGTGAAGGGCTTAGGACAGCGCTTTGTGCACACTGAGCGCAATTAACGAGTCGGTTATAGTTTTTCACTGCATTATCCCCCAGTGTCTAGCAAAGTATTAAACATAGCATGAGCCCTTATTGGATGAGTACACCATGAGTTTGAAGGATAAATATAAATAAATTTTACTCCTAAAATAAGCAGCTTGTTTATTTTTAAAAGTTGTCATTTGTTCCATAGGGTGCCAATTATCTCACTAATTGTTATAAGCTGTAACACAGAATTGGCCAAGGTCAAGGCCTCCCAATAGTGAAAGCTATTTAGAGTATCAAACTATTTATGCAAATTTGAATTCTAATGATATCCGGGAAACAATCAGCCTAAATATTTCCCATGATATATATACATATATATATATTTTTTTTTTTAAAAAAAAGGTACTTTAAAAGCTATGTTAAGAATTTTATCAACCCCCATCAAGTCAATCCTTCAAAAGCAAGTCAATGAAAAAGAAGAAGTCAGGTTGGATATTGCACTTAAATGTTTATCATATTACACATCTAATTGGTCAATGCAGGATGCAGGTTATTGAACGACATCTTTAATATATAAACACTCGAATAGCTTGTAATTTACATAAATGTCACCATATGAAATAAATGTAAGCTAAAAATACTGGATAGAATTATAAAATTAATCATGAAGGTAGAACCACCACTTTTATATAATGGACTCCTAAAAACAAATAGCAATGATGTGTTGACATAGGTCCATCAATTGTAACAAAGGTACCATTTTGGTGGGGGATGTTCATAAAGGGACATGCTTGGTTTTGGGGGGACGGGAGGGAATATATGGGAAATCTCTGTACCTTCCACTCAGTCTTATTGTGAATATAAAACTCCTGTAAAAAATAAAGTCTATTAAAAAAGAGAGAAAGAGAAAAGCGAAGAAGAAGAAGAAGAAGAAGAAGAAGAAGAAGAAGGAGGAGGAAAACAACAACATAAAAAATATAACAAAATAAATATACTCACTATTTCTGCTGTATGACCTCTAAAGGTATGGTAACATTTTCCCGTGTCTACACTCCATAGCTTACAAGTCTTATCAAAGGATGCAGTGGCAATTTTGTCACTAAAATTTAAAACAAAGGTAGATTTTGAAAACAAATTCAAACACACTGTATGAGACACTGAATTAAGACAAGACATTAATACGTAGGTCTGCATCTACTCAGAAATTTACTTTGTTTTTGAAACAACAAACAATCTTACGTTTGTTTCGGTGGATAACAATTTTAAGGTCTGATTTTTCAATAATATAAGATGATGCATTTAATTTAAAATGTTTTACATTGAAAGTATAAATTTATGTTTGAGATTACAATCAGTTTTTAAACTAGCACAATGAATATGGTAAATTTTTTAGTTTAGAAAACTCTTACCAAATGGAAATTAAAAATGTATGAGAGGCAGGAAACGGAAAAATTCTATTAGATCTACTGACAAGGATAACATTGAATTTAAAAGAAGAAAAATGAAAAGGTATAAATCCAATGAACCACATGGCTAGATGAGTTTTTGAGAATTTAGTGTCTCCTTGGGAAAATAATGCTGCTAATATTCCAATTGTCAGCTCTTTGGTGAAGGAAGACGGTTTTCAGAGGAAATATGGTGAGACCTCAGTCCCTTTCAAACAAGAGGCTTTCCATGTACACCGCAGAGCAGGGTTACTATCAACACCAGATAGATAAGAGTAGGTTGGCCCGCATAACCTTTGACCATGGAACTAAATCTTTTCCTTTACCATTGACCCCTGTCTTTTATAGCAACCCATCAAAATGCTTCACCCAACGGGGTCACCGGTTATACTGCAAGCTCATTGTTCAAGACCCTCATTGGGTCTTAAGACCCAAATACATATCTTAAAGCAAATTCTATGTCTTTGACACAGTCATAGGATTTATATTTTATCCAAACACTAACATTAGTGCCCTGTATCTCTCCTTCGCTCTCAGGCCACCCACATAAGTATTTCTGTGGTCTCTGATACTAAAGGAGTCAGGTCCTTTCTGTCCATGCTCCATGCTCCAGGGACAGACTGTTCTGGAGAATACCCACCCACCCACCTCGAGCTTCCTAATAACACTCAAGGCTGGTTGTCAACCCAAAGTCTGCACTAACTCTCTCCCCATCTGGTCTGAGCGTTTCTCATTAGCTGCTGATGTCCAACTTCTGCTCATGTATGCTGAGAGCACTGTGTGCTCTTTGTCAGCTCCTTCCCTCCACTTTCCAGCCGTCCTCCCCCTCAGACATATTGTCTCAAGTTGCTGCTGTTTCTCTCTCAGTTCCTGTTGGATCACACACTGCTCTCTACACCCATTCACCACTACATTATAAAAGATAACACTGATTTCACAGTTTATAGAGTTACTTTATAGAATCAAAGCTTACTTCTGACCCAATGTATAAAACATGTAAGAACTAACCTGATTCTTCTATCTCTATCTCTGTCTTTCTGTCTCTCTGTCTCTCTGTCTCTGTCTCTGTCTCTCTCTCTCTCTCTCACACACACACACACACCCTCTCATTCTTTGGTGGCGATCTTGAATCTTGAACTCACTCTGCTGAAACCCCAGTGTCCCAAAGTGCTGTGAAAAAGGCTGCTTTAATCCATACATAAATCATCAGACTATGTAATCGGACAAGCGAGTTTTTTGTCAGGGGGTCTTGGTAGAATCCAATAGAAAGGCCAAAAGATGAAGAGTTCCTCCCCTCTCTATCCCCCCAAAACTTTGTTCTAAGATAGATATGCAAAAATATCCTGTCTTGTAAGTATAATATTATAGGATATTATATTATATCATGCAGAACATACTGTTAAAGTCCTTTAAATAACACTGCAAGTAAAGTAGGAATTATAGTAGAGGTAAAGCATTATCATTTATAATAGCAATTATAAATTTATAATAGCAATTAAATCTCTCTCCCACAGGTTGGTGCAATAAGGCATTATAAAAACTATCATTCTCTACAATGTAAAACTGCATACATCAAAGTTAAGTTTTTGGCAATGTAATTGGAATAATCATTTTAATGTACCAATTAAGTTTGATTGTGCCATCACAATTGATATGATTTAAACTGTGTTACATCTTAGAAAGATATAATGACATTAGCAACCTACATATCAAGTTTTTAACATATATGGTATAAAATTTCTACTTTAAGTGCATCAGATTTTGATAGGATTACCTTTATTGCCCTTGCCCCTACCCTAGACTGTTCTCATCATCCCATGAATGTATCTTTTTATCTGCCTCCTAACTAAATTCCTTGCCTCCTGTTTCATCCCAATCCAAACCCTCTGACCCCTTCTCTCTGCCAGAACAGCCCTCCCAAAATGGCACTTGCATTGCGTCCCTCCTTTGTACACAAAGCCTTCATGACAACTCAGTCATCCAGAACAGAGTTCAAACTACGCAGAACACTCTGAGCTCACCCACTTCTGATTCTCACCAGGAAACATCCACTAGAGAGCCAGGGGCACTGGGGGAGCCGGGCAAAGCCCCACCTAGGCCATGGAGCTGCAGGGTGCCCTCCCCCAGGGTGCCCTCCCACCTCCTTTATTTTCCACCTCCAAGCTTCTGCTGGAGTTGCACATCATCCTCAGAACCTCCACCAAGAGAAATCCCACTGGCCTTTCTCTTCTAACTTTCAAGCCATTTACTGTTGTGTTCTAGCCATCATAATACCATCATAAAAGAGACATATTTACTGAGACAGCTTAGTGAATGGAAAAAGTCACAGTGGTCAGTCATGAAAAAAGACACACATTAAAAACTTTTACTCAAATACGCAAGGCAAAGGCCTTTTCTTTGGCTACCTGGAGCTCATTATCTGCCTTACAGAAATCATACCCAACCTCTACAAGTTCCATGTCAACCAGAGGAAGACATGAATAAATGGAGAGAAAATAAAGGATTTAATGGATTAATGAGGAAGAAGTGAATGACTGAATGTCTGTTTACCCATACGGATTGTTGAATGCTATGGCATAAACCACATTCCGGTGGCCCTCCAGGGTATGAAGCTCCTCTCCAGATGCAGTATCCCAAAGTTTACACGTCCGATCATAGCTTCCTGTAATAAAGCTAACACGCGGGAGACAAATAGATCACAAAGTGACAACAGCAGCGTGTTAATAAAGACCTTGTTTTTTTACCTACAAGATTATAACCCCATTTATCTTGTTCTTCTTTTTTTTAATCTTTCTTTATTTTTGAGAGAGAGAGCAACAGAGCATGAGCAGGGGAGGGGCAGAGAGAGAAGGAGACACAGAACCCGAAGCAGGCTCCAGACTCTGAGCTGTCAGCACAGACCCCAAGGCGGGGCTCGAACTCACAAACCGTGAGATCATGACCTGAGCTGAAGTCAGACGCTTAACCAAGACTGAGCCACCCAGGTGCCCCATCTTGCTTTTTACAAAATGAAATCGTGTATGGAGAACCGTTAAATTGGGAACAATAGCTACATCCTTTTATTAGGAACTTTTTAAATTTTATCCCTAAACCAAAATGGAGCCACTAAATCAGATTAAGAGTAATCCTGCCAATAATCATTCTTATAAATAATTACTAATTAAATAATATTAATCGGCAACATTTTCTGAAATTCTAACAGATCTCAATAAACAGTATCGTTCTTCCCATTGGTCAGCCCATAAAATCTTAGCATCATCTTTGGTTCCTCTAATCCCCTCATATACCACACACAATCTATTAGTAAATTCTGTGAGCCCAATCTCAAAATACACCCCTAGTGTGGATGCATTTCACCAGGCTCCATTGCCTCCGTCTCTTGCCTAAACAATGAAAGCATCTTCTAATAGATCTTGGCTCACACATGGTCCTTACTCCTTATGAGTCTATCTTCCACACCGAAATTGGAGGTTTTTGTTTTTTTTTAACTTCCCTCCAATGGCTTCCTAACAATCTAGAGGAAAATTCAAACTTCTGCTCATGGCCCACAAGACCAACAGCACTGGCTGTCTCTGGGACCTCAACTTGACCCCAAAGCACACCCTGAGCAGGCACATTCACCTCTTTGCTAGTCTTTCTTCTACCCATCAGGTTTACTGCCATCATCCCCAGGACCTGGAACATGACTGGCAAACTAGTAAGTGTCAGTGAATATTTACTGAAGATTAGCAATCCTCTTACATGACTATTCTTCTACAGGAATAATTTGTACGTTGCCCTCTCATATGTAGTTTTTTATTTTAGAGAGAAAGAGCACATGCAAGTGGGGAGGGGGGAGGAGAGAGAGAGAGAGAGAGAGAGAGAGAGAATCTCAAGCAGGTTCCACATTCAGCATGGAGCCCAATGAAGGGCTCGATCTCACGACCCTGAGATGACGAGCCAAAATCAAGAGTTGACCACACTGAAACAACTGAGTCACCTATGCACCCCTTGACCTCTAATATTTTAAAGTTAAAAATACTATCTTAGTTATTCCTTAAATACTCCATTAGGAAAGCTACTTCCCCAACACAGAAAAAAGTGCACAGAAGTAAAAAGCTGGTCTGCAATAAAAAAGAATGAAATCTGGCCATTTGAGACAATGTGGATGGAACCAGAGTATATTATACTAAGTGAAAAAAAGTCAGTCAGAGAAAGACAAGTATCAGATGATTTCACTCATATGTCAAATTTAGGACACACAACAGATGAACATAAGGGAAGAGAAGGAACAGTAAGATAAAAACAGAGGGAGGTAAACCGTAAGAGACTTTTAAATACAGAGAACAAACTGAGAGTTGATGGAGGGAGGGAGGCAGGGTAGGGTTAGGGGTAGGGTTAGGGTTAGGGTTAGGGTTCGCTAAGTGAGTGATGGGCATTAAGCAGGGCACTTGTGATGAGCACTGGGTGTTATACAGAAGTGATGAATCATTGAGTTCTACTCTCGAAACTAATACTGCACTGTATGCTAACTTAAATTTAAATAAATTAATTAAAACAAATAAGTTAAATCAAGAAATAAATTAATAAATAAATTAAAAAACTGGTCTGAGTGTCAAGTGGTAACGATAAAAGGTAAACAGATAAATGATAAATTCTGACAAGGAAACTCAACCAAACAAAAGGGTTGACAAGGCAGTGTACCTTTGATTCTTCTCCAGACACTTCCTCTTAGCTTTTCAGGGAAGTAAACTGGCACAGTTGTGATGGAAGATAGGATGGTGGGTCCCCCAAAAAATTAAAAATAAAACTACCGTATGATCCCACAATCTCACTTCTGGGTGTATATAAAAAAAACGCAATCAGGGGCGCCTGGGTGGCTCAGTCGGTTGAGCGTCCGACTTCGGCTCAGGTCATGATCTCGCGGTCCGTAAGTTCGAGCCCCGCACTGGGCTCTGTGCTGACGGCTCAGAACCTGGAGCCTGTTTCATATTCTGTGTCTCCCTCTCTCTCTGCTCCTTCCCCGTTCATGCTCTGTCTCTCTCTGTCTCAAAAATAAATAAAAGTTAAAAAAATTTTAAAAAATGAAATCAGGGTCTCATAGAGGTATCTGCACTGCCATGTTCTTTGCAGCGCTGTTCACAACAGCCAAAACATTGAAACAACAAATATCCATCAGGGAAGGAATGTCATACTATTTAGCCATGAGAAAGAAAGAAACTCTGCCACTTGCAAAAACATGGACGAACTTGGAGGGCATTATGCTAAGTGAAATAAGCCAGACACAGAAAAACAAGTATTGTCTGATCTCACACACAGGTGGAATCTAAAAAAAAGTCAAATTCATAGAAGCAGACAGTAGAACAGTAGTGACCAAGGACTGGGGAGTGGGAGAAATGGGGAGACATTGGTTAAAGAGCATAAATTTGCAGTTATGTAGGATGAATGCACAGTTGCATAGTTGCAGTTATGTAGATGTAATGCACAGGCATAATCACTATAGTTAATAATATTGGCCTGAGCTAGAACTGATCCATGAATTCAGCAAAGTCACAAGATATAAAATTAGTGCACAGAAATTAGTTGCATTTCTATACACCAATAAGGAAGCAGCAGAAAGAGAAATCAAGGAATTGATCCCATTTACAATTGCACCAAAAACCATAAAATACCTAGGAATAAATCTAACCAAAGAGGTTAAAAGTCTGTACACTGAAAACTATAGAAAGCTCATGAAAGAAATTGAACAAGATACCAAAACAAAAAACAGGAAAAATATTCCATGCTCAAGAATTGGAAGAACAAATATTGTTAAAATGTCAATACTATCCAAAGCAATCTACATATTCAATGCAATCCCTATCAAAATAACACCTGCATTCTTCACAGAGCTGGAAAAAACAATCTTAAAATTTGTATGGAACCAGAAAAGATCCTGAATTTCCAAAGCAATCCTGAAAAAGAAAAACAAAACTGGAGACATCATAATTCCGGACTTCAAGATGAATTACAAAGCTGTTATCATCAAGACAGTATGGTACTGGCACAAAAACTGACACACAGATTAATGGAACAGAATAGAGAACCCAGAAATGGACCCACAAACGTATGGCCAACTAATCTTTGACAAAGCAGGAAAGAATATCCAATGGAATAAAGACAGTCTCTTCAGCAAGTGGTGCTGGGAAAACTGGACAGCGACATGCAGAAGAATGGACCTGGACCACTTTCTTACACCATACACAAAAATAAACTCAAAATAGATGAAAGACCTCAATGTAAGACAGGAAGCCATCAAAATCCTCGAAGAGAAAGCAGGCAAAACCTCTTTGATCTTGCCCGCAGCAACTTCTTACTCAACACGTCTCCAGAGGCAAGGGAAACAAAAGCAAAAATGAGCTACTGGGACCTCATCAAAATAACTTCTGCACAGC